AAGGAATAGAGGGACTGAGTCTAAAGTCCTAGTTTAGGCGAGAGGGGATGGTAACTCAAGCGTGCGGGGGGACTGCTTTCCGCCATATTGATGTAGCGATTCTCACACAGAGATTCTGTGTCTGTGACATGGTTACACTCGTGTAGTGGTGCCACTAGACATAACGAGTGACAAGCATAAAGAGATTAGGCGATTTTATTATTGTTGTATTATAAATTTTATAAAATACTTTAACTTTTATTACTCTGAGGCTCTGCATACAGTAGACAAAATATTAGAAATAGCAATAAACATTTAATATTAAAAAGAGAAATTATTTTACATCTAACAAGAGAATAAAATATATTAATTAATTCCAATTCTTATTTCTTAATTTATGCATTAATTTTTTCTATTCTTTTTATTTTTAAAATAAATAATTCCAATTTCTTATTTCTAATATTTAATACTTATTTCTATTTCTATTTCCTATTTTGTTTATTGTGCGCAGGATCTGACTTTCATTTCTCACATATACGCAAATAGTGAGTTCTATGTGTGGTGATTACTAAACGAATATGGCGGCCCCCCCCCCGCCGCAAACATGCTCCCCGGTACAGCTTGTGCACCGTCCTTCTATTCCTTAGTCCGTGTCCGTAACGTTACGTGTGTTTTTATCAAGATCTATAGAGAGAAGGTTACCTCAGGCAAACCGGTTGTTGGCGAAGGACGATGAAGTAAGGGGGAGCTAGAACAGCTTGTAAACGAGAGGCGACGAAGTAAGGGGGGAGTTAGAAACAGCTTGTGGCGAGGGGCGACGAAGTAAAGGGGGAGTTAGAAACAGCTTGTGGCGAGGGACGACAAAGTAAGGGGGGAGCTAAAAACAGCTTGTAGGCGAGGGGCGACGAAGGAAGGGGAGAGCATGATGATCTCATCGTCAAACAGTAGCTGTCTCTCTCGCACGCTTTAGTGTTTTCTCTCTCGCTCCTTTAATATAGAAATGCTTTGAGTTTTTATCGAAAAAATACTTTTATTTTGTAAAATATTGATAGCACTGGAAATTGCGTAATAAAAATTGAAAAGTAAATTAGAAAGGCGCTATAAATTACATATATTGCAAATTATAGCGCTAGATATTTAACGTTTATAATGTTAAATATCGCTGCAACAAATGCATTTGTGATACAAATTGCTTTGTACTCGTATTTAGACTGTAATATCAATGAAAATAAAATATAATTTGGGGATATACACAAAAAACATCATTTGTAAAATAGTAAAAAAAAGAAAAAATAAGTACA